TTCAGGAGTTTGTCAACTTTATCTTTGAGTGTTTTAGAACGCTCTGCATTCATAAACCTTCTTTTCTGTCTTATTAGCTAAGCCTTTGGGTCAATGTTCAGCCTGTGATACATTACCTTGAGGCTGATCCCCACCATATTTACATGCACCCATGTGAACACGTCGAGGTTTTTCTTTATAAATCCCATCAGATTATCGACTATTTCTTTTGGTTAGGCTACTGCTAATTTTCAATATGTGAGTTGGATCTTCTTCGGTAAGACATATTTCTTACAGCTCTTCTGTCGACCCTGTTGCGGGCTCTTCTTTATGGATATGAGGATTTATAGTATCCTCGAGAGGTCTAGGGTGTGGTTTAGACTTTGTAATAACCATTGTTCTCAAGAGTGGCCATTTTAATACAGCATTTATGGCCCGGTTGTAACATTCTCGAGATTCTTTCCTACATCTCCTAATCGTCGCGACTCCCCTAGGAGTCGAAAATTTCATATCTTGGCAGCGCACTTATGTGAATGCACTCAAATCATCCAAGACCGGTCTTTTGAGGATGACGTTGTATGTAGTTAGACAATCTACCACTAAGAATTTAGCCATTACTATCTAGATTTTGGGTTCTACCCCTAGAGTCATAGGAAGGTCGATCATTCCCTTGAGGACCAAACTGTCCCCGGTGAATCCATACAACAGTGAAGGACACACCCTCAAGTCCTTCTTTGTGAACCTTATCTCTCGAAAGGCTCCCAAGAAGATGATGTTCACTGCACTTTCGTTATCGACCATTACCCTCAGCACTCTGGCATTGTCGATCTTGGTTGCGATTACAATCGCATCATGTTATAGCAAGGGGATTCTTCACATTCTTCAACAATGAATCCTACCACCTTGCTCTCATGTCTAAGTTGCTTTGGCGGCTTTTGTTCGTAGCTCATTACCTAGGGGACCAAATCTATTCTGGCCTCGCGAGCATATTGCTCACGGACGCACCTTGAGCTTCCTGCTATGTCAGGCCCGCCGTAGATCATACCCACCAGGACCTCATGGTTGGCGTTGGCCGGTGCCTGCTAGACCTAGTTATTCTGCTCGCTAGTATTTTAGCGAGCCGGTGCCTCTTTGACAAATTCCTTTAGGTGGCCTCTTCGTATAAGGTTTTCGATGACATCTTTCAAAGTCCGACACTCATTAGTGTTGTGCCTGATTCCCCAATGGTATCGACAATATTTATGTCGATCTCTTTTGCCCGAAACCCTTCTCATCCTTTCTGGAGTAGACAATCTCCTTGCCTCACGAGAAACTTCGTAAATGTGAGCTATGTCTTATGTGAGGAAGGTATATTCTGCACATTGCGGGAAAGGCTGCATGTCCTTGTGGTTATTTGTTTTTTTTCTTTTTTGAGACCTATTTTGGTCCCTATCATTACGGTCTTGGCCCCTCCGCTTATCTGATGGGCGATCTTGTCGCCTGTCTAAGGATCTTTGTGGCGAGCTTTTGGCTAGGGCTGCTAACAAGCTTTCGACTCGCTGGTGCTTTATATCCATCTGATAAAACTTCGCCAAGCTCACGTGATTTTCGCTTTGGAGCTCTTTCCACAGCTCCATGTTCGGCCTGATGCTTGCAATTAGCAAAGTCCGGATTGACTCTTCGGGTGCATCCGCGACCTTTGGTTGCTTGTTATGGAAACTCGTTAAATATGAGGTCAGGTTTTTTCTCTCTCCTAATGAATATTACTCAAGTAGTTGAGCAGCATTGCAAGTTATCTCCTCACTTGGAATTGTTGCAAGTACAACGAGGAGAATTGTTGCCAATAACTGATGGAGTTTGCCTTGAGTACTTTGTACCACCTCTTGGCATCCCCTACCAATGTGACTGTGAAGTAGCGGCACTTCGCTAGGACACAAACCTGGTGCAGCTCCATCAGGTCATTGAAATTGTCAAGGTGGTCTCTAAGGTCTCCTCTCCCATCGAACTTACTCTCTAGCGCCCTAAATCCCTATAGAAGTGGGGCCTGGTGAACCTCCTATGTGAATGGGGAACTCACTATTTCTTTTGCTACATCGTTCTGGCGGGCCCTTAGATCGTCAAGCATTTTCTGCACATGATTCAAGTCTTCATTATGATTGCCCTGTCTAGCTCTGTTCAATCTTACCTCGAGCAAGTGAGTTCACAAATCTGTCACTTGTGAACCCTTCCGTTACATGCATTGATGCGTGAGGTTGAGTCATGATGGCTCGATTGATAAGTGCTATCATACTCGTTAGTGCGTTGCTTATGACGTCGGTTATAACCGGAACGTTGGTCCTTGCCAAATTGGCTCACATTACTCATCTTGCAAGCTTGCGAGGATCAGGCTTATCTTGGGCGTGGGTTAAGACTAGCATGCTGACATTGTGGATTTCATCGGGTAGGTTGAGCATCTCGTGGGCAACCATTACCTTCGCTTTCACCTATTGGTTGTTTCCCTGGCCGCCTCCCAGGGTTAGTTCGCCTGCGTGACTTACGCTCGTGAGCGGAGTGCACCCTTTGACGTCAGGGGTGTCGGTCGCCCCTTGGCGCCGATAAGCTAGACTGGTCCCCAACTGAAGTTTGACCCGTTAGGGTGGGATCAATGAAGCACAGCTGGTCAAGGTTCTGGGAAGTTGGTTGCTGATTTCTTAGCTCAGCTACGTTCTGTTGCACCGCCTATGCAACCATAGTTTTGATCATCTCCACTAGTTGGCCGTTTTTAGGGTTTGATGTTCTTGCCCCTTGGTTATTCATGGCATGCTGAGATGACAGCAATGGTGGTCGATGCCCAGCGGCTTCCTGTTGCACCTCCTAATGGGTGGTCTCCACATCGTCGTGGTTTCCAGTGGTGGTTTTTGATCTTGTACGCACCATCATGGGCCTGAAGTGGTTAGATCGTTGTGGTTTTTTGCCGAAATTTTTGAGATTTTGGCGAAGACCCTCTTTCTTGCGTCAAAATGTTGATACATAAATCTGTACCAACTAGAGTGATCTGATCGACTTTGGTGAGATCGAAACTGGTGTGTGTGATTACGGATGACTAGCAATGAATGGATAATGGATGCAGTAAAGTAAATGGCAAAAAGGATTTTAAAGTGGTTCGGCGAGTTGAACTTTTGAGCCTATATCCATTGATCTTTGTATTTACTGTGAGAGCTTACAATAGTAATTCTAGGAATATTTTTCTGCCCTTCCTTATTGTTTGAGGGGGTTTATATACAGAGTTTGTACAAAGGAAATAGCGAAAGTAAAAGGATTACAATTAAATTGAAATGCAAATCCGATATTCTAGCGATTGGGCCCAAAGATTGTGTCAATCTGATCATTTCCGAGATATCTGGGATCTGAAGTTAGCTGGGAATTGGTTGAACGATCACTCGAATTGTTTGTGACTAGCTTGTGCTGGGTCGAGCTATAGCTCGACGAGCTTATGTTGGGTCGGACAATCGATAGAGTCGAGTTGGTTCTAGATCGAACTATATCCTCTAAGCTTGGTGGAAAAATCATACACAACATATATATATATATCTTAATTATTTGTGTTGCAAAGTCAGCCTATCAACCATTTCGGCATTAAATTTTTTTTTTTTTTTATTGGAAGTGTCCAAATCAGTTTGCCCACACCTGGATTTATTTTTTGGGATCTTAAAGTTAACGATCGTGAAAACCCTCTAGTGGCTACCTCTGTTAGCAATCGAGAAGAATCAAACCTAATATTTCTTGAGTAATACACCCAAAAGTCCATATCATCCCACTCGACCACTCAAAAGTTGTTAATATCGCATTAATAGTTATCAACCTCTTGTAGTTTTCATAGTCAAATTATTATCTGATAAATTATAATTAATAAAACGGATTATGAATGTGTGATGATAAGGATGAAGGAACCAACCCACATAAGACAAGTGTATAAAATTGAGACCTTGGACTTTGAATGTTAATTGGAAATGTTAGATTTTAATAGTATGAAATATGTATATGTTATCTTAATGGAGTTAATAAAAGCTTGAATAAGAAGTTGTTAAATATGTGGTGACAATTAATATGAATGGCCTCCAACTTCCTGTTCATTATTAAAGACCGACTTGTTTAGCAGGAGTTGAATTTGAGCTGCCTCTGTGCTCAATTATTTTATAATCAATTAAATCAACCTTATGGTGTCATCAAACCTTGTGTCTGCATCATTAATTAATTAATTAATGGCCGCGAGCCCGCGAGAGCTCGGATGATGAGAGCTCAGCTGGCCTTTGGAAGTTTGTGATTTTTATTTTTCCATTTCTGATTTGATTTCTCATGTGGAAAAATACGTTCAGTTCACATTTAGAGGTGAAATTGAAATTATTGGCAAATTAGTTGAGAAATACCAACTTCAATAAATTAAAATAGAGTAATTGAGATTTTATTATTAATTACAGGTTTAAAGTACAAGATTTTCGTGGCGTGAAAACACTATGAAATGAACATGAGTGGGAAAGTGTTTAGTAGATAATAAATGAGCAGTAAAATAAAGGTCAGAAACTTTATTAGGTTTATAATTTTGGGAGGAATGACCCACTCTTTTCATAAATTTACTAAAATTTATTAGCCTTTGGTATTAGTTGGGAAATGTCCATAATTAAGACTACTTTTTTTTTTTAAATAATTGAGGTGTTGGGTCAATATCCGAAATATCCAGGTTAGTTTATATACACCTCAATTAATCCTTAAAAGGAGTTATCTTACAACAACCCACTACTGTGACCCCCTAGATAAATCATAGTAAATGTATTACCTTTGTACTCAATCGAAGAATCAAACTCGGATGTGGGATGTATCGTTTGTAGCCCCCTTAGTTCGCCCTTACCGTTGGACTACCTATGGGCGGTAATTAAGACTACTTTTGAAATGGGTGATTTGAAGCTTAATTAACATAATTAATAAATGCAGAGAAAAAAGAAATCCCAAGTAAGAATTCAAATACATAAAAGAGAATTAAATAGACTATTATTTTTATATGTTATTTAAATTCTTGGATGCGAGTTGGGTTGACTCGGATCCAGAATCTCTTTGAGTACGAGGTTTCTGGATCTATTGATGGTCATGAAACATAAGTACAAATGTTCCTCTAGATCATCAAGCTGCTGGCTAAAGCTGGCATCATTCTTCTTTAGCTGGCGCGCCACTTCGCCACTGGCCTGTAGTCGACCACCCTCTCCCCTCTCCAGCCAAAACTTCACCATTGAACGCATGTGTTCTAGCTCATCGTTTAGCCGAACCACAAGCCGGCTTATTGTATCTAGATCCCTGTTCAATATATAAGTCCCTTTGGCGGCTACATCAAGTTGAGCCGACACTCGAGCCAACCTTCTAGTTGAAGTCAGCTCAACCGAAGCTGCTATAAGGCTTGGTGCAACTATTAGTAATGCGAGAGCATGTGAAGCCACTATCACAGTTAATGAAGCTGTTAAAGCCACTAAGAAAATAGCCGAGCCATGTTTTGATGCGTTGATTAGGCGTAGCTTGGTTCGAGCCTTGTCTCGACTTGATTCAAATTGCTTGAGTAATTTCAAGCACCCGGCTTGAATGATCCGAACCCGACAGTGAGATGGAGCGGATGAGGTTAATGGGTTTGATAAGTTGGATAATTCAGTTAATCGGGTTATTATACACAATAAATTATTTGAAGGCAAAAAATGAGCATTTTCAAGGGATTGAATAACGGTCTTAAAACATTGATATTTCTCTCGGATATTATCTATATTTTTGAATAAAAGACTGCATAAAAGAGAGGCCTCAGCAGTTTGAGAGAAATAATTTGTTAAAAGGGAATGAGCCTTTTTCAAAGAAAGGATATGAGTAACAGTGGGTTGATCCGGATCCAAAAGTTGCTCCGCAAAGAGACGATACGAAGAGAGCCGAGCCGCTGTGGTGGACTCAATAGGAATACACTTGGTGGTTGAGTTTCCATTTGAGAGTGCAAGGACACGTGTCCAAAATTCATTGTATGATTCTGTTCGAAACGCGTGTGCATATTCTTCGCGTACATCCAAACCCGTTTCTTGATCGGAAGTGTCACCGCCGGATCCTAATAACAAAATTGTACAAAAAAGAGTTGTCATTTTTATGAGAGGGAGTGTATTATACTCAATTCCACATGTATTGGCTGTAGTGTCGTTGGTCTTATTCAATTTCAACAATACCTTTAAAGTTTCAAACAACCACTGCCCCTAAAATTTACTACTTTTTTTTTTTTTTTAATAAAAAAATTCCAATTAAACAACTTGAAAATTCTTCAATCTACATACATTTAATAAAGAGGGAGTCTAGATTTTATATAAATTTAAAAATTAAAATACAATCACTATTTAATATAATATAAAAAAGGAACAAGTTCAAAAATATAAGCACTGTACCTGTGGCCGAAAGAAACAATTTTGTGATCCGGGTGCAAACTTTTTTCTTCATTAAAACAAATTCTGCAAGAACAACACGACGATGAAAAGCTAAAAATTGTTAGTAAAAAAGAAAAAGAGTGAGAGAAGAAGGAAAGAGTTGAACATGGTGGGAGCGGAGCTGACCTCTCTGTGAACCTGAAAAAAATTACAAATTTCTGTTTTAGATTTTTCAACAGGTGGTGAAGGTATTAAATGGAAACAAAGAGTGCCTTTTATAATCCAAATTGACTCCTCTTGGGCTCTTTGCTTTTGTCCATAAAATTCCAAATCTTGTTGTGAAAGTGAAGGTTTGTGTAATGTCGCAAACTTAGAAGGAATCAAAATGAGATTCATATGCCAAAATTTAAACTTTTAAGACAAGCTTTGATATTGATATGATGCCATATTAACTCAGCAATCTGAAGTCTCCAGGCCCATTAAAACTAAGTCCAAGATCAGCTACCATCCCATTAAACCCTTCAAGTCGCCAAGAAATAAAAAATTCAGCATCAAAGTTTTGGACTACACACATAATTGCACAGAACGTTGAAAAAAATAGGAGAGAATTTTTGCTTCATAAAAGTACATGGCTCAACAAAATCTTCACTGTTCTTCCACCACTTCTACGTTAAAACTGTATTGCAAGCTAAAATACAAGTTGAATGATCTCAATCAGTTATTGCAATGGTGACAAAACTGAAAAGTTCCATAAGAGGGTGGGAATTGAAACAGCAAAAAGCCCAAATAAATTGATCAACGCTTGACCCATTGAAAGCTCTTTCTTGCTTTTGCCTTCCCTGGTTTTTTCCTTTCAACCACACGTGGATCTCTCGTCAAGAAACCAACTGTTAAGACACACGAGCGATTTTAGTAATAAGATTTTAACAGAGCATATAAAGATTATCAACAGGTGATTTATGATGCCTATACCCATACAGGCTGCTGTCACAGAAAAGGTGTAAACAAGGATCACTCAGAATTTATAGAATTAAAAGGCAAGATGAAAGATTAAAGATAGTATGCATAAACAAGAGTACCGGATCTGAGTGCAGGACGTAAGTCAGGTTCCCAGTTTTGCAATGCCCTGCTGATACCCAACCGAATTGCCCCAACTTGACCTGTCACCATTCACCAAAAGAAGGTAAGAAGATTAGTCAACAAGAGATTCAAACACAAACACAGACGCAACTCATACATGGGGTCGCACGGAAAGGAACATGCCACAGGCTCATTCAATTTGTACCGGATGTGGTTTTCGTTCATCACTCATTAAGACACAATGCAAAAAAATTACAACATAAAAACAAGGCATGTTGGTCCCAGCACACATGTAAGTAGAGATTCATGGCACTAAGATAGGATACAGATGCTAGATTACAGTATCTTCCCCACAACAGGTTGTTTACATGTTAAATAATCAGGGGGAACAAGCACAATGAACCAGAAAATGATAAGGATTCCATATGAATATCCTGGTATGAACAAAAAAATATAAAAACAAGAATGAAAGAATTATTAGATTAAGAATTTCATATGGGTGTCTAAGCGATCCAAACCAAGTTTGATGGTGTTTAGCTGGACTCAATGAACGTCAGGCCATGTTTAGACCTGATGCATGCTCAGCCATAGTACACTGCAATCATACACTCAGTTCAGATAAAAAAATAAAAGCTCAATCAACCGCTAGTGCTACTTTCCTTGTGCTTTAGTTATTCACAAGCTACATACTGTGGGATGGAAAAATGATTCAAGGAAATAACAATTGGTTGTATTACTGGTTAACACATCATTATAGGCAAACTGACTTCAATCAAGTACAATAAATTTATCTTTCTCAAATTTAAACAAACGGAAGTTCATAACTCAAATTAAAATCTAACTTTTGTATCAAGAGAACCCAAGAAAAACCTTTTCATATGACTAACCAATTTGTTTCATTCTTAATTCAAGCACACATAGCACAAGAGGAATTATAGAAAGCCAAGGAAAGGTTATCCCATTAACTCACAATCTTAACAATTCTCCAAAGGATGTAAAAATGAAGAAAAAGTGCCTAGCCTTATTAAACTAAGCCAAGCCAATCATGAAGCTGATGAAGCCCAACTCTTTCAGTTCACACTCTTTATAATCAAGCTTAGCCATTTGTCTAATAAATCTACAAGAAAGATAAATTCAAGAAAATATTTCAAATCACAAAAAGTGCGTTCCAACTTCATGACACTAGGAAAATCAAACTAAAAACTATCCAGAAGAAAAAATCATAAACAAACAAAGCTAAGAAAAGAAACAATGTTATAGTAATTCAAGCTAAAATGTAAAACAAGAAGAACATACCCAAAAATTAGAGCGTTTATTAGACAAAATGTTCATGTGAGAAGAACACATCGACAATGCTCAAAGATGCACCAAAAAGATTATTTAAAAAGTGAATATGATAATGAAAGGTGGATGAACAACAACATTTTAACAAGAAATTCAGAATGATATTAAACATTATATAGGTAAAATTGTATGATCAGTAGCTACAAACATTAGGCTCACCTGAGACACCACCACCTTTAACAGTACAATTAACATCCCAAAGACCCAAGGTCTTTGTCTCTGAGAAAGGCCGAAGAAGAGTAGCACGGTGATCAAGCATTGGGAAATAGACATCAAATTCTTTATCATTAACTACGAACTTTCCTTCACCAGGTTGAATCCAAACACGGGCTATACTGCATTTCCTTCTTCCTGTTCCATAAGCCCTACCCTGATCGTCTACTTGTCTCACTCTTGCTTTGGCAATTTCCTCCTGTTTCTGGCGTTCTATTTCATCTCTTGATGATTTTCTTGTATTCTTTTCAAAACGAATCTCTTCTATTTCACTAAGAGGGGGCAATCCTTCAACCCCTTCCAAGTCCTTCAGCGCAATCAAACTATCTAGCATTGCGTCTGTGATACCAGATGCTGCAATAAGATCACCAAATGCTCTACTTGGACCTGCAAGCAAGCATAGAAAAACAATACCTTCAGCTATTATCTGGATGAAGACTACATGCGAAAGTAAAATAAATTGTGCAGAAATTTACTTCAAATAAAATACAATTCCAAAACACATTAAACGCACGATTCACTATCTTCATCCTCATGACCAATATAGATGATTACCCCTAGTCCCTCCAGCTACTTTCTCCTCTCCACTATCAGAAATCTCATTCTGTTCCAACCTTTAGATTCTCCAGCTCATAACCCTATCCATCTGCCATCATGGCATCACACTTAGTCACATGTGCTTCCACATAATCAACTGTACCACAGAACATCAGTTTCCTGCACTAAATCCCAACAAGACCCACTTCTAGCTAAATTCACAGTCTAATAAAGACCCGCTGAACCACAGTTCATGGGCAGTTGACGTTACTATCATGTAAAAGTGAAAGTGCTGAACACATTGACTTGATATATTGAAGACGTAAATTCTTCATGAAATCATTAATATTAAGCCCATCTTTTGTGCACTGCAAAGAATAATTGAAGATTCTATGCAGTAAAATCAAGCTTATAACTAAAAAAAAAAAAAAAAAAAAAAAAAAAAAAAAAACAAATTTAATGCTAAACTTTATTGTTAAGCAAATTTTTACTGGGAGTTGCTTGTAGTTTGGTGCTACTTGACTGATCATTCTCTTTGATTTTAAATTGTTATTTGTTTTTAATTGAGTCCCTAAATTTTCATTTGCATTTGTTCATTTTTTGGTTACTGCTTGACTCTGTGGCAGAGTACGAAGATCAAATTTTCATAGAAAAATGATATCACACATCGGTTCATGCTTTGCATTTCTTTTTCGGCAAGAAACGGTGGTGGTACAAGCCAAGGAGTTCATATAAAGATTAATATTTGAGTCATTGGATTTTGGTGTAAGAGTAAGATTGTAAAGCTTATCTGAGATTGAAAATGGCAATGGCATCTCTAGTAAAGGTGATTCTGGGCTCAATTGCCTTCGCAATCTTTTGGGTGTTGGCGGTTTTCCCAGCTGTCCCTTTTCTACCAATAGGGAGGACTGCAGGATCCCTCTTAAGCGCCATGCTTATGGTCTTATTCCAAGTCATATCACCTGATCAAGCCTATGCTGCAATTGATCTTCCCATACTTGGTCTTCTCTTTGGGACAATGGTCGTGAGTGTGTATCTGGAAAGAGCAGATATGTTCAAATACTTGGGTAAGTTGCTCTCTTGGAAAAGCAAAGGGCCGAAGGACTTAATTTGTCGAATCTGCTTGATTTCAGCCATTTCAAGTGCTCTTTTCACCAATGATACCTCTTGTGTGGTCTTGACTGAGTTTGTATTGAAAATTGCTCGGCAACATAATCTCCCTCCACATCCATTCCTAATTGCTCTTGCATCAAGTGCTAACATTGGTTCTTCAGCAACTCCCATTGGTAACTCTCAAAACTTGGTTATAGCTGTTCAGAGCAAGATTAGTTTTGGAAAGTTTCTAATTGGAATCCTCCCTGCAATGCTTATGGGAGTTTTTGTGAATGCTGTAATTATTCTTCTCATGTACTGGAAGTTGTTATCCTCTCAGAAGGATGAAGAAGATGCAACTGCTGATGTTGTAGCAGAAGAGGATGTGACTTCTCATCGGTTTTCACCAGCCACTATGTCGCATGAGACATCCTTAAATTCTCAGGAACGGAACTCTAGAGCGGAATCTATTAATTTCCAAAGTTCTCCCAATGTGAATATCAATATAGTTCATGTTGATACTCTTAGAAATCGAGCTAGTTCTATTGAGAATGAAATCCACAGGGTACATAGTGGTGCAATCGGAACACCAGGAAATTCAAATGAATCAAAAGAGGTGTCAACGGATGGATCTTCTCAGAGAAGGGAGGAAGCTTTCTCTCCAAAGGGGGTTGCATCAACAATTAGATTGAGCAATGTTCTTTCACAGCAGATCTTAGACGGAAAGGAAAATTTGGCCACAAGGTGGAAAAAAATATTGTGGAAATCATGTGTTTACCTTGTTACTGTAGGAATGTTAATTTCTCTGCTTATGGGTCTCAACATGTCCTGGACTGCAATTACTGCTGCACTTGCTCTTGTGGTTCTCGATTTCAAAGATGCTCGACCAAGCCTGGAAAAGGTAAAATCTGCAACAAGGATGCTTCTTGCTTCAGTAATTTCTTTTTGTACTAAAGGAAATCGGTGAATTGAAAGCATATTACTTGGTAGATCATGAATGTTGATTGCTAGTTGGAACATGTATATAAATCTAAGTTAACTTTCTCTTCTTTTGACCAGGTGTCTTATTCGCTTTTAATTTTCTTCTGTGGAATGTTTATCACTGTTGATGGCTTTAACAAAACTGGAATTCCAAGCACTCTTTGGGATTTCATGGAGCCCTATGCACAGATTGATCACGTTAGTGGGACAGCAGTTCTTGCTGTTGTCATTCTTGTCCTGTCAAATGTGGCATCCAATGTACCAACTGGTATGTTGATCTTTCTTCTTCCACAAATGTGTCTCAGATTCCTTTTAAAAAATTGCTGCATTCTACTTGACAAAGTTGAGACCCATAATCATTGTTGGTTAAGATTCTTAAAAGAAATCCTGACTAGTGCAGGACTCAGGTCACAATTGACATGCAGAATACATAAATCAATTGTGGTTTCACATCTTGACATAGTCGGGGAGGGTTTACAAACGTAAAATAAGCATCTACTATGTGATGGTAATAGCAAAAGAAGTATCCTGTACACACACACACACACACACACACACACACACACAAAAATTGTGAATAGTTAATTTTTGGGCATTTATCAGAGTTGTTGAATATGCATAACAGGTGCTAACCGCTAAACTAGGCCTCTGATATTTTTAAGAGTTTCAATAGTATTCTGGGGCTCCGTTTGTTTGTGTTTGGGCTTGATCCATATGACAACTGGCCTTTGTGCATGAGAACTAGGACATGCAGGAGCATAATACTATTCTTGGATCTTACCTATCATTTTAAGCTTTTGGGTTAAGTGATTCGTAACAGATATGTCTAGAGAAAGTCTGGTGCTAATGGGAGCTAAAAGGTGTACTTTATAAAAGAAAGTGATTACTTTTTTTGTTGGTAGGAGCTAAAATTCCTCCAAGGAAGTCCTACTGGGATTTGATCTTACAACTCTCCCCCATTGAACTGTCAACAATATGGTTTCATGATTTGTGGGATACTAACAACTAGTTAAAGACATAAATTGAGCGTAGTGTTTCTTCTGTTCTTTCACCATTGTCACATTCAAAGAATTTCGCTGAAACATTGCTTAGACGGTCTTATATGCCATTTTATATGCATATATCTACAGCATTACATGATATCTGATTTGATTATATTTATCCATTTGATTTTTCTGCACTTGAATTGATGGTACTTGAGAACCAGACTGGGATTTATGTTATTGAAATATGTTCTTGTGATAAATTTGCTAAGTTACAAAGAATTGGTGATTTGGTTAAGAATTTAGTTCGGTTTAAAAAAGAAATTTTGCATACGTTGGTGTATAAGCTTGTAAAAGTTGCATTGGTTTTACCAGTTGTGACTGCGACTGTTAAAAGAGTTTTTTCTACAATGAATCTTGTGAAAAGTCGGTTATGCAATCGAATGGGAGATCAATAGATGAATGATTGCTTAATCATCTATATTGAGAAATATGTATTTGATACAATTGACAATGAGATGATTATCTAACGTTTTCAGAATAGAAAAACTCGCCAAAAGACAATTATAAAAAAAATTGTTTTATCTTTATAAAAATTGTGTTTTTTAAAGATATTTATTTGTTTTTTTGAAGATATTTATTTCTATTTTATAACTTTTGATTGAAGCTCATCTTAATAAAAAAAAAAAATGTAATTATGGTTGGTTTTAATTTCTTTTTTTGTTTGGTTTATATTTTGCCCCCTAAGAGGGGAATTCCTAAATCAGCCACTGCCTGCAAGTCCAGTTTATTCATAAGTTAGCGTGATTGTTATAAAACAAGACTGATTTTTTATTGCAAACTTTCTAATTCTTATGCTGGCTGCTTGTACTAACAATTTTCTCCATTGCCTTAGTTCTCTTGCTTGGAGGTCGAGTAGCAGCATCTGCAGCTGCAATATCTGCAGCCGATGAGAAGAAGTCGTGGCTAATTTTAGCTTGGGTCAGCACAGTAGCTGGGAACCTCTCATTACTTGGATCAGCTGCCAACTTGATAGTATGTGAGCAAGCTCGCCGTGCTCCACACCTTGCATATACCTTATCCTTCTGGAATCATCTCAAATTCGGAGTGCCCTCAACCCTGATAGTTACAGCAATTGGTTTGATGTTGTTAAGATGATTCTGATCTCCTTCAGCAGAATCTGTTCATGTAAATATTTTTTGCTTGAGACAGTCTTCCTGCTATGATTTGAAATTTGCTGTAATATTCTATTGTCAAGAACAAAATTCAATTTTTTTTCTTCCAACAAAGCTGGTTTACGGTACAGCTTTAAATTAAAATCCTAAATCATATGTTTTCCAAAACCTATCAACCATGAAAAACATTAAATCCTCAAGGATGTAGTAAAGAAAAGAAGTAAAATAAAGAACAATACAAAAACATAGGCATTTGGCATTATTACTGTATCATAAATGAATGACCCAAACAAAAGAACACTCAAAACTTTTATGGAACACAATGCATGAAGCTAAGGCCATTGCTGATCTGGTATTGAAAAAGAATAATACTACACTTACATCACTCTTTCACACAATTTTTATTACATCATGATGTAGCATATGCTACAATCACACAAATTTTTAATTATTTTGAATTTTTAATATTGTAATAGAATTTGTGTAGTTGTGGCATATGTCATATCATGATGTAATAAAAATGGTGTAAAAAAGTTGTGTAAGTGTAGCATTATTCATTGAAAAAAAAATGTTTCTTGAGTCCTACAGAATAACAGTTGCGCTTACTTCAACGTTTGAAGCAAAAACAAGGTCATTTTGCAGTGACACTGCTTTAATTAGGTACACATTATATGTGCCATCACTTTAATTAGGTACACATTATATGTGCCATTTTGAGTTTTTTCTCTCAGCTTTAAGTGTTATTTGATTGTAAAGAATCTTATGAAGTTTCTGTATTCTGGGTTGTTTGGATTATACTACTAATGTAATGGAAGAACTGACATTGTAAAAAGGCTAATCGCTCTGATATTTTTCCATGTCCAGGTTCTCTTTTTTATACTGTATCAGGATGAAGTTTTAAGCTTATTTTGTATCAAATATGGCATCTTCTTCTACCATGGTAGATATTCTAGGCTTACTTGCCATCACAATATTCTGGTTACTGGCAGTTTTTCCTGCCATTCCATTTCTACCAATTGGGAGAACTGCAGGGTCTCTTCTTGGTGCTCCACTTACGGTAATTTTTCAAATCATGTCCCCGGAACAAGCGTACGAATCACTTCATATGTCAATCCTTGCTCTTCTCTTCAGCACAATGGTTTTGAGTATATATCTTGAAAGAGCTGATGCATTTAAGCACTTGAGCAAGGTGCTAGCATGGAAGATCAACGGAGCAAAGGACCTAATTTCAAATTTCTGTTTTAGATTTTTCAGTAATAGGTGGTGAAGGTATTAAATGGAAACAAAGAGCGCCTTTTATAATCCAAATTGACTACTCTTGGGCTCTTTGCTTTTGTCCATAAAATTCCAAGTCTTCTTGTGAAAGTGAAGGTTTGTGTAATGTCGCAAACTTAGAAGGAATCAAAATGAAATTCATATGCCAAAATTTAAACTTTTAAGACAATATTTGATATTGATATGATGCCATATTAAACTCAGCAATCTGAATCATAATTGGGCTGAGTCTCCTGGCCCATTAAAACGAAGCCCAAGATCAGCTACCGGCCCATTATACCCATCAAGTCGCCCAGAAATAAAAAGTTAACAGCTATAATGACCACTGAAATTCAGCATCAAAGTTTTGGACTACACACATTATCGCACAGAACGTTGAAAAAAATAGGAGAGAATTTTTGCTTCATAAAAGTACATGGCTCAAGAAAATCTTCACTGTTCTTCCACCACTTCTACGTTAAAACCGTATTGCAAGCTAAAATACAAGTTGAATGATCTCAATAAGTTATTGCAATGGTGACAAAACTGATGTTCCATAAGAGGGTGGGCATTGAAAATGCAAAAAGCCCCAATAAATTGATCAACGCTTGACCCATTGAAAGCTCTTTCTTGCTTTTGCCTTCCCTGGTTTTTTCCTTTCAACCACACGTGGATCTCTCGTCAAGAAACCAACTGTTAAGACACACGAGCGATTTTAGTAATAAGATTTTAACAGAGCATATAAAGTTTATCCACAGGTGATTTATGATGACTATACCCATACAGGCTGTTGTCACAGAAAAGGTGTAAACAACGATCACTCAGAATTTATAGAATTAAAAGGCAAGATGAAAGATAAAAGATAGTATGCATAAACAAGAGTACCGGATCTGAGTGCAGGACGTAAGTCAGGTTCCCAGTTTTGCAATGCCCTGCTGATACCCAACCGAATTGCCCCAACTTGACCTGTCACCATTCACCAAAAGAAGGTTAGAAGATTAGTCAACAAGAGATTCAAACACAAGCACAGACGCAACTCATACATGGGGTCGCATCGAAAGGAACAGGCCACAGGCTCATTCAATTAAACTTTTAATTTGTACTGGATGTGGTTTTCGTTCGTCACTCATTAAGACACAATGCAAAAAAATTTACAACATAAAAACAAGGCATGTTGGTCCCAGCACACATGTAAGTAGAGATTCCTAGCACTAAGACAGGATACAGATGCTAGATTACAGTATCTTCCTCACAACAGGTTGTTTACATGCTAAATAATCAGGGGGAACAAGCACAATGAACCAGAAAATGATAAGGATTCCATATGAATATCCTGGTATGAACAAAAAAATATAAAACAAGAATGAAAGAATTATTAGATTAAGAATTTCATATGGGTGTCCAAGCAATCCAAACCCAGTTTGATGGTGTTTAGCTGGACTCAATGAACGTCAGGCCATGTTTAGACCTGAGGCATGCTCAACTATAATACACTGCAATCATACACTCAGTTCAGATAAAAAAATAAAAGCTCAATCAACCTCTAGTGCTACTTTCCTTGTGCTTTAGTTATTCACAAGCTACATACTGTGGGATGGAAAAATGATTCAAGGAAATAACAATTGGTTGTATTACTGGTTAACACATCATTATAGGCAAACTGACTTCAATCAAGTACAATAAATTTATCTTTCTCAAATTTAAACAAACGGAAGTTCATAACTCAAATTAAAATCTAACTTTTGTATCAAGAGAACCTAAGAAAAACCTTTTCATATGACTAACCAATTTGTTTCATTCTTAATTCAAGCACACATAGCACAAGAGGAATTATAGAAAGCCAAGGAAAGGTTATCCCATTAACTCACAATCTTAACAATTCGCCAAAGGATGTAAAAATGAAGAAAAAGTGCCTAGCCTTATTAAACTAAGCCAAGCCAATCATGAAGCTGATGAAGCCCAACTCTTTCAGTTCACACTCTTTATAATCAAGTTTAGCCATTTGTCTAATTTCAGCCCTAGCCTCATAAATCTATAAGAAAGATAAATTCAAGAAAATATTTCAAATCACAAAAAGCACGTTCCAACTTTATGACACTAAGAAAATCAAACTAAAAACTATCCAGAAGAAAAAATCATAAACAAACATAGCTAAGAAAAGAAACAATGTTATAGTAATTCAAGCTAAAATGTAAAACAAGAAGAACATGCCCAAAAATTAGTAGGTTTATAGACAAAATGTACATGTGAGAAGAACACATCGACAATGCTCAAAGATGCACCAAAAATATTATTTAAAAAGTGAATATGATAACTGAAAGGTGGATGAACAACAATATTTTAACAAGAAATTCAGAATGATATTAAACATTATGTAGGTAAAATTGTATGATCAGTAGCTACAAACATTAGGCTCACCTGAGACACCACCACCTTTAACAGTACAATTAACATCCCAAAGACCCAAGGTCTTTGTCTCTGAGAAAGGCCGAAGAAGAGTAGCACGGTGATCAAGCATTGGGAAATAGACATCAAATTCTTTATCATTAACTATGAACTTTCCTTCACCAGGTTGAATCCAAACACGGGCTATACTGCATTTTCTTCTTCCTGTTCCATAAGCCCTACCCTGATCGTCTACTTGTCTCACTCTTGCTTTGGCAATTTCCTCCTGTTTCTGGCGTTCTATTTCATCTCTTGACGATTTTCTTGTATTCTTTTCATAACGAATCTCTTCTATTTCACTAAGAGGTGGCAATCCTTCAACCCCTTCCAAGTCCTTCAGCGCAATCAAACTATCTAGCATTGCGTCCGTGATACCAGATGCTGCAATAAGATCACCAAATGCTCGACTTGGACCTGTAAGCAAGCATAGCAAAACAATACCTTCAGCTATTATCTGGATGAAGACTAGATGGGAAATTAAAATAAATTGTGCAGAAAATTACTTCAAATAAAATACAATTCCAAAAACACATTAAACAGACGATTCACTATCTTCATCCTCATGACCAATATAGATGATTACCCCTCGTCCTTCCAGCTACTTTCTTCTCTCCACTATCAGAAATCTCATTCTGTTCCAACCTTTAGATTCTCCGGCTCATAACCCTATCCATCTGCCATCATGGCATCACACTTAGTCATGTGTGCTTCCAATAATCAACTGTACCACAGAACATCAGTTTCCTGCACTAAATCCATCAACAAGACCCACTTCTAGCTAAATTCACAGTCTAATCAAAGACCCGCTGAACCACAGTTCATGGGCCAGTTGACGTTACTACTCATGTAAAAGTGAAAGTGCTGAACACATTGACTTGATATATTGAAGAAGTGAATTCTTCATGAAATCATTAATATTAGCCCCATCTTTTGTGCACTGCAAAGAATAATTGAAGATTCTTTGCAGTAAAAATCAAGCTTATAACTAAAAAATAAAAATAAAAACAAGTTTAATGCTAAACTTTATTGTTAAGCAAATTTATTATATTAAAAAAAAAAAAAAAAAAATTGCTTGCCTTTGACTATAGCAGAAAGTTCTTTCTCCTCTCTTTCAAGCATCTCCTTCTCCTCTTGAGTCATCTCACTACGGATACTTGCACTATTCTCACCCAAAGTTTCATCAACTGGCCGTACACCCTCCCCGAGATCGAACACGTCATCATCCTTCTTTTCCTCTACAAAACTCCACGGCTTGTACTCCTCCTCCCTGGACCCCGGAGCCATCCAATCACCTCCACTCTTATTGAAAACATCCTCACTGCCACCACGAAGTTCCGTATCCAAGATGTTGAACAGCGGGTCGAATTTTCCTTCATTTTCCGGAGTAAGGTTCCAGGGATTGGACGTGGACGGATCCTTGCTATTATTGTTGTTGTCGTTGTTGTTGGTGGAGAGAAATCGACATAAGTTGAGAAGGGGAGAGAAGTAAGGGTTTTGGGGATAGGGTTGAGATTTTGAATAAACATGTGCTATCAGACGGAAGTGCAAGGGTTTACGGGAGAGCATTGTTTGGGGCAGGAGACGGGAGAGCATTGTTTTGGGGAAGAGACGGGGGACGGTGGGGTTTGCCAATTTCTTCTATTTTTGTTTGGCTTAGGGTTTTACGGTTAGATCAGATTGGCTTACTAATATTTCTATAATTAAAGTGCCAGAGAATTTACTAATTCAATACTGCTGGCCACAAACAATTGCCCATTGGGTATTAGCATTATTGGTTTTCAGCCACATATAAACAAGCAATGATCCAAGTATTATTTTAATCTTAGTTTTAACAAATGGGTTAACTTTTTAAGTAATAAAATCATTTGGGCAAACTTTATTTTATTCAAGATATTAATTTTGATAACACATTGCCGATGGAAGCAATATTTGATTGAACTACTGAAAACAACTCAATATAATTTTTAGAGTTACTTTTACCCACTTAAATAATTGTTTAATAATATTTTCTTATTTATAAATTTTTAAAATATAATTTTATTATCTAAATTTATATTTTGATGACAAGAAAAAAAAAAATTTTAAAGGTTTTAAAGAGAGGAGGTGGATGAATATTTGAAAAGGGTGCTCAATTTAATCTATTCCCTACCATTACTAATCTCAACGATTAAGCTTTCCAATCAAAAGTACGGATAAGACCCTTTTCATCTCTGCTTACGGGTGAGACTTCAATTTTGTCTGTGCTTTTGCTGCTTGTGTATTGAATTTGATTCAGATATGACCCCTTTTTGTTTTTATCACTCTACCTGTTATGATTCAATATTACTGGTAACTTTTGAATCTAGATTTTAGTTGTTTTTGTTTGACTGCTCATTTTATCTTCTATTGATTCATGCTGTTTCATTGCGTTGAAATTTTTACTGGGAGTTGCTTGTAGTTTGGTGCAACTTGACTGATCATTCTCTTTGATTTTAAATTGTTATTTGTTTTCAATCGAGTCCCTAATTGCCATAGTATTTGCATTTGTTCATTTTTTGGTTACTGCTTAACTAAATTTTGAAAGGGCTGTTTGACTGTGTGGCAGAGTACGAAGATCAAATTTTCATAGAAAAATGATATCACCCATCGGTTCATGCTTTGCATTTCTTTTTCGGCAAGAAACGATGATGGTACAAGCCAAGGAGTTCATATAAAGATTAATATTTGAGTCTTTGGATTTTGGTGTAAGAGTAAGATTGTAAAGCTTATCTGAGATTGAAAATGGCAATAGCATCTCTAGTAAAGGTGATTCTGGGCTCAATTGCCTTCGCAATCTTTTGGGTGTTAGCGGTTTTCCCAGCTGTCCCTTTTCTACCAGTAGGGAGGACTGCAGGATCCCTCTTAGGCGCCATGCTTATGGTCTTATTCCAAGTCATAACACCTGATCAGGCCTATGCTGCAATTGATCTTCCCATACTTGGTCTTCTCTTTGGGACAATGGTTGTGAGTGTGTATCTGGAAAGAGCAGATATGTTCAAATACTTGGGTAAGTTGCTCTCTTGGAAAAGCAAAGGGCCGAAGGACTTAATTTGTCGAATCTGCTTGATTTCAGCCATTTCAAGTGCTCTTTTCACCAATGATACCTCTTGTGTGGTCTTGACTGAGTTTGTATTGAAAATTGCTCGGCAACATAATCTCCCTCCACATCCATTCCTAATTGCTCTTGCATCAAGATCAAGTGCTAACATTGGTTCTTCAGCAACTCCCATTGGTAACCCTCAAAACTTGGTTATAGCTGTTCAGAGCAAGAATAGTTTTGGAAAGTTTCTAATTGGAATCCTCCCTGCAATGCTTATGGGAGTTTTTGTGAATGCTGTAATTATTCTTCTCATGTACTGGAAGTTGTTATCCTCGCAGAAGGATGAAGAAGATGCAACTGCTGATGTTGTAGCAGAAGAGGATGTGACTTCTCATCGGTTTTCACCAGCCACTATGTCACATGAGACATCCTTAAATTCTCACAAATGGAACTCTAGAGCGGAATCTATTAATTTCCAAAGTTCTCCGAATGAGAATGGCAATATAGGTCATGTTGATACTCTTAGAAATCGAGTTGGTTCTAATAAGAATGAAATCCACAGGGTACATAGTGGTGCAATCGGAACACCAGGAAATTCAAATGAATCAAAAGAGGTGTTAATTGATGGATCTTCTTAGAGAAGGGAGGAAGCTTTCTCTCCAAAGGGGGTTGCATCAATAATTAGATTGAGCAATGTTCTTTCACAGCAGATCTTAGACGGACAGGAAAATTTGGCCACAAGGTGGAAAAAAATATTGTGGAAATCATGTGTTTACCTTGTTACTGTAGGAATGTTAATTTCTCTGCTTATGGGTCTCAACATGTCCTGGACTGCAATTGCTGCTGCACTTGCTCTTGTGGTTCTCGATTTCAAAGATGCTCGACCATGCCTGGAAAAGGTAAAATCTGCAACAAGGATGCTTCTTGCTTCAGTAATTTCTTTTTGTACTAAAGGAAATCGGAAAATTGAAAGCATATTACTTGGTAGATCATGAATGTTGATTGCTAGTTGGAACATGTATATAAATCTAAGTTAAACTTTCTCTTCTTTTGACCAGGTGTCTTATTCGCTTTTAATTTTCTGCTGTGGAATGTTTATCACTATTGATGGCTTTAACAAAACTGGAATTCCAAGCACTCTTTGGGATTTCATGGAGCCTTATGCACAGATTGATCACGTTAGTGGGACAGTAGTTCTTGCTGTTGTCATTCTTGTCCTGTCAAATGTGGCATCCAATGTACCAACTGGTATGTTGATCTTTCTTCTTCCACAAATGTGTCTCAGATTCCTTTTAAAAAATTGCTGCATTCTACTTGACAAAGTTGAGACCCATAATCATTGTTGGTTAAGATTCTTAAAAGAAATCCTGACTAGTGCAGGACCCAGGGCACAATTGACATGCAGAATACATAAATCAATTGTGGTTTCACATCTTGACATAGTCGGGGAGGGTTTACAAACGTAAAATAAGCATCTACTATGTGATGGTAATAGCAAAAGAAGTATCCTGTACACACACACACACACACACACACACACACACACAAAAATTGTGAATAGTTAATTTTTGGGCATTTATCAGAGTTGTTGAATATGCATAACAGGTGCTAACCGCTAAACTAGGCCTCTGATATTTTTAAGAGTTTCAATAGTATTCTGGGGCTCCGTTTGTTTGTGTTTGGGCTTGATCCATATGACAACTGGCCTTTGTGCATGAGAACTAGGACATGCAGGAGCATAATACTATTCTTGGATCTTACCTATCAATTTAAGCTTTTGGGTTAAGTGATTCGTAACAGATATGTCTAGAGAAAGTATGGTGCTAATGGGAGCTAAAAGGTGTACTTTATAAAAGAAAGTGATACTTTTTTTGTTGGTAAGAGCTAAAATTCCTCCAAGGAAGTCCTACTGGGATTTGATCTTACAACTCTCCCCCATTGAACTGTCAACAATATGGTTTCATGATTTGTGGGATACTGACAACTAGTTAAAGACAGAAATTGAGCGTAGTGTTTCTTCTGTTCTTTCACCATTGTCACATTCAAAGAATTTTGCTGAAACATTGCTTAGATGGTCTTATATGCATATATTTACAGCGTTACATGATATCTCCTGCAAGTCCAGTATATTCATAAGTTAGCGTGATTGTTATAAAACAAGACTGATTTTTTTATTAAACCTTCTAATACTTGACTGGCTGCTTGTACTAACAATTTTCTCCATTGCCTTAGTTCTCTTGCTTGGAGGTCGAGTAGCAGCATCTGCAGCTGCAATTTCTGCAGACGATGAGAAGAAGTCGTGGCTAATTTTAGCTTGGGTCAGCACAGTAGCTGGGAACCTCTCATTACTTGGATCAGCTGCCAACTTGATAGTATGTGAGCAAGCTCGCCGTGCTCCACACCTTGCATATACCTTATCCTTCTGGAATCATCTCAAATTCGGAGTGCCCTCAACCCTGATAGTTACAGCAATTGGTTTGATGTTGTTAAGATGATACTGATCTCCTTCAGTAGAATCTATTCATGTAAATATTTTTTGCTTGAGGCAGTCTTCCTGCTATGCTTCAAAATTTGCTGTAATATTCTATTGTCAAGAACAAAATTCAATTCTTCCAACAAAGCTGGTTTAAAGTACAGCTTTAAATTAAAATCCTAAATCATATGTTTTCCAAAACCTATCAGCCATGAAAAACATTAAATCCTCAAGGATGTAGTAAAGAAAAGAAGTAAAATAAAGAACAATACAAAAACACAGGCATTTGGCATTATTTTAAGACTTTTTAGTTGGTCCAAGTGGGCTGGCAACAAGTCTGTGCCTTAAAGAACGGCGACTTAAATAGGGAAGCTCCTGTATTAATGGAGCCTCATAATATCATGCAACCCTGATCCTAAGGTCCCCTTTTCACTACCTCTAATCAGAAATGAATGACTCAAATAAAAGAACACTCAAAACTTTTATGGAACACAATGCATGCAGCTAAGTCCATTGCTTATCTGGTATTGAAAAAAAAAATAAGTTTCTTGAGTCCTGCAGAATAACAATTGCGCTTACTTCAACGATTGAAGCAAAAACAAGCTCATTTTGCAGTGACACTGCTTTAATTAGGTACACATTATATGTGCCATTTTGAGTTTTTTCTCTCTGCTTTAAGCGTTATTTGATTGTAAACAATCTTATGAAGTTTCTGTATTCTGGGTTGTTTGGATTATACTACTAATGTAATGGAAGAACTGGCATTGTAAAAAGGCTAATCGCTCTGATATTTTTCCATGTCCAGGTTCTCTCTTTTATACTGTATCAGGATGAAGTTTTAAGCTTATTTAGTAGCAAATATGGCATCTTCTTCTACCATGGTACATATTCTAGGCTTACTTGCCTTCACAATATTCTGGTTACTGGTAGTTTTTCTCGCCGTTCCATTTCTACCAATTGGGAGAACTGCAGGGTCTCTTCTTGGTGCTGCACTTATGGTAATTTTTCAAATCATGTCCCCGGAACAAGCGTACGAATCACTTCATATGTCAATCCTTGCTCTTCTCTTCGGCACAATGGTTTTGAGTATATATCTTGAAAGAGCTGATGCATTTAAGCACTTGAGTAAGGTGCTAACATGGAAGATCAACGGTGCAAAGGACCTAATTTGTAGAATATGCTTAATTTCTGCCATTACTAGTGCTT